TAAGTTCACAATGTTGCTTTAGTGAAAGTCTCATCCTTCTTTCCCATAAAATGCAGAAAATGGTAGAATGTGCACTTTTAACCCCGAACATACGTTTTTATAGTCGATATACAGTGGGATCTTTCTCATGCTCGCTGAGTGGATTTTTTGCCTTTTCTCTCATATGTAAAGTTGTAGAGACATTAGGTTATTTTTTAAAGCAGGAGAAATTTATTGATTTATTATTATTCCGCCTGCTTCACCTCTCAATGGGTACTACAGGTCAGTCATGTTATTCTGATCGTTGCACCAGCAACCCTTTTTGGTTGTTTATCTTTTCAAGCTTATTTAACAGATAAGCTTATTTAACATTAGTTATTACTTTTGTTGGGTGCTTACAGCTTTTTGGGGTACGTTAGTATAAAATTAGCCAAAAGGAAGCAGGGGAGATGAAAAATCAGCAATGCCTTCGTCGGGACTCGAACCATGGACCTCTCGAATTCGCGTCGAGCGTGCTGACCACTACACTACGAAAGCAGACTAAGAAGGCGAGAGAAATACCTTATATATCCCCCCTTTTAAAGGGCGACTGGGGCTTTAGGGGACCAAATCGCCAAATCCTGGGGTGTGGAGAGTCATCATCTCCCACCCTTTTAGTTTGGGTGCCACTGTAGAGACATTAGGTTATCTTTTAAGGCAGGAGAGATGAAAAATGAGCAATGTACTCGCCGGAACTCAAGCTACGGACCTCTCGAATTCGCTTCGAACGTGCTGACCACTACACTACGAAGGCATGCTAAGAAAGCGGGAGAAATACCTTATAAAGTAAATAAGAGCCATTTTTTGGAAAATCCTTCATGAAAGCCTAATTCTTTAATCTGAGGATTCTTTGAAAAGATTCTTTAATCTGATGTTTCGCCATAATTAATTTACCGAAAATCCAGGGCGTAAGCATAAGATGGAGAATCCGGAAATTAATATCTTCGCGCGCTCACCACACATTTATTTCTAATCAAAAATAACCAAATACAACTTATCTTATACGAAGAAAATCGTATCTTTTCAAACCTTCATGTCATAACATTTCATCTTTGTCGCTTATTAAACTTCTAACGTCGTTCAAAAGCATTCAAACAATATTAGTTACGTTTCCATTTGTTTTTAGTTTTTTCCTCTCTACAGAGTTGTTAATTAAGGCATATCTTAAATGCAGCTTTACTTATGCAAAATATTTTACTTGGAGTAATCTGTAAATCGGAAACATATTAGCGATTTGTAGTGTGAAAGTGTAGTGTAAAAGTCAGTTTCAAGATCACAGTGCTTTCTGGCGTATTTATTATAACAAAATTACTTGGTTAAACTATTAAAAAAATTGTCAAGATCTTGAAAGGAAAATAAAATTCATCGAAATTGCATTTCGAAGGAGTTTAGTTGATCATAAGACCTGTCATCATTTTATTGATAATATTTCCTTCCTCAGTAAATATAGTAAATGATATGAAGTAAAACACGCAAAAGGCACTATGACCTTTTCTCTTTCATTCTTATGTTATTTGAGCCCAGAAAAGAATTGACGTCACTAAAAATTCTTGAATAAAAGACAGAAAGCAATGAAAATGTTTTTTTTTTTTTTTTTTTTTTTTGTAGACAAAGCTCATTATTCTTTGTTACACTGGCTTTCTTTCACAAGTTAAAATGGCAGTCCATGGTGATATTTAACACCGATGTGAAATCACTGCCTTTTTTTTTAATTAACTTGTAGAATCATTAGTTTTTTTTTTTTTTTTTTTTTTAAGTTTAAAGAAAAACTGTAGCTCCCTTAGATTTATCAAAGCAGAAAAATGAAAAACGTGCAGTGCCCTAGCCAGGATTCGAAATCTTATACTTCCAATTACAACATGGAGGCGAGCGGTAAGGAAAGCGAAAAATTCCGTACATTCTTTGCTCTTTAAAGAGCGACCGGGAAGGCGGAGACCCAGTCACCAAATCCAGGTGCCGAATAATTATAGTCCGCCACACTTTAATTCGGACGCCACTCATTTCAGAGATTTTGGTGCAAATAAGGTGAAATAATGCTCTCATCGTGATTCAAATTTCAGAACTTCTGATTGTTAGCCGGCCGTGTTTCCATTTACACTACGAAAGCACGCAGTAAAGAAGAAAAATCTTTACAAATCTTATTCAATATCTGAATGTTGTAAATACTCTTGAATTTAAGTTCTCTTATTGTGGGTTATACACATGATATTCAAAAATTCTTTCGAACTGCGGAGCTTACAAAGGAGTTAGTTGCATGAAGCCCTCGAGTTCCGCGGATCTCAGTCTGAAGTCCACCCACGTATGTAAACATCTTTTTAATCACTGGGACCCGAACTCAGAATAAATTACCAGCATTTTAAGACGAGTAACGTTTTGCTGTCCTATCAGCGGTCGAATGATAAACCCGCTGAACACTGATAATTTGACCCAGGCTCAAATCTCGGCGAACGAGTTGGCTGCATGCATCTGTTATTCACGTTACACATGGGTTATTATCTCCATATTTAACGTGAATATAAGACATTTTCTCTTAAAAAGTGCCCAACGATCTAAATAATCCATTTCTACCCTTTTATCTTTAGCTGACAGATGTTCTAAATATTGATTAAAATTACTTTGATTAAACAAGAATTATTTGAAATATTCACCATTTTATGTAAGCTTATGGTAGTCTAATATATCTTTCATGTTGTCATATCTATAGCAATTCTAATCGTAACTGATATTTTGTATGCAAGCTATGCTGCTTGATGCATGAAAAGTTAGTTGGAGACTAAAGCTTTTACTGTTATGAAAGAAAGCTGACAGTTTCGCCAGCGAAATAAATTTATTTATAGCAACGCTTCCCTTTCCTATACGAACTAAACATAATGCTCAAATATATATATAATATGCAAAACAATAATGCATTACAAGACTTATTCTGGAAAGAAACGCAACTAAATTCATACTCTTTGTACAACTTACTTACAGCTTAGAATTGCACTCATGTGCATAAATTAAGGATAAAGCTCCGGCAAATAAAGGTCAGAAACAAAACAAACGTGACTTATTCATAAAGCCCATTTATTAAACAAAAGATAATGAACAAAAAAATGGCGTAGATATGATACTATTCACGATAAACTACGATTTTGCTCCCGGGAGCAATTACAAAAAATATCTCCCTTACAAAACCTTTACATGGTTGGTATGATGGTTAGTACATTGCATGTCTCCCAGACGATGAAACGCAGTCCATATAACTCCTAGGTACGCTGAGTATCAAATTATCGAGCTGATCATGGGAAAGATTACTTCACTTAGCAAACAATGCTCTCCGATGTTCTAGTGCACATATAGGAGGTGCTTGACGGACTGCAATTCGTCGATTAAGCATGTCCCACACATGCTCTATCGGATTCAAGTGAAGTGAGAATGCTGGCCATTCGATACGGGTGATATCCTCGGATTGAAAGCATTCTTTTACAGTGTTTGCACGGTGAGGACGGACGTTGTCATCCATACACACAAATTCTGCGCCTATATAGCACCCCTAAACAAACGTGCATGTTGTTCCAGACTGATATCCCGATAAATTACGCTTGTCATGGTTCCGATCTGAACATACAGATCTGTTCTGGAGCCCGGTATAATTCCACCCCAAACGAACAATCCGGCACCACCGTAACGGTGTCGTTCAACGATGTTCTCTTAGTAGTAGCGGGTACCTGGAGTACTCCATATGAAAGTCCGACGTGAATCAGACTGCATTCTAAACCTAGACTCGTCGTAAAACGTCACACAAGTCCACTGTGGCGATGTCCACATTGCATGTTGTCTATTCCAGGCTAACCGCTGGCGACAGTGAGTTGCCGTGAGTGGAACACATCTGACAGGCCTGCCAGCATATAGACCACTCTGTTCCAAACGTCTATACAGGGTTTGCCTTGAAACTGTCGTACCCGTGGCTGAAGATAGCTGAAGACATAGTTCTGATGTTATGCTCCGTCCGCATTCTTTTAGCAGTTACTGCAACATACAATTGTCATTTAGTTTTGTACCTCGGGGGGGGCGAAGTGTACTGTAATGTCTACTGACATTTCCATCATTTTGGCATCGTTGCCAAAGCCTAGAGATAACACTTTATGCTATTCTAGTTCCTGGGATACTTCCATCTGAGTACGCCCCCATTCCAGGTGGCCGACATTTCTACCATGTAAAAATCATCCACATGCGTCCTCTGTGTCATAACTATTCGGTTGTGGCACTAAGCGGCTTACAGAACACTTGTGAACAATTTTACTTCTTTGCTACCATTTCTTATGTACACTTCTGTTATACTCTCGACATTGTAACGTACTATCGGCGTTATCTGATGGCTTCTTGTAATTTTTATATTATTTTTGAAGATTTGTGAAATAATTTTGCTGGTGAATTTTTACTTTCATTTTTACATAGTTCAATTTCAATGTGATTCTGAATTATGCTTAATTTATGGAAATAAGTGTATTGCTTTGCGTATTTGCCATAAGCCATGGCATACAACTATAAATTATGTGCAGTATGCATATTCAGAGAACAGAGAAAAAAGGGCAAATAATCACATTTCATTCAAAAGAATGCCTCTCTCGTGAACCTTTCTCGTGATTCCGAAATTTTTACTTAAATATTATAAGATGAATCTATTTATTCAAATATTGCTTAACAAAATAGTTTTCTGATGTATAACTTCAAATATTTTAAACATTTGTAAATACTTTTCGAATACAACTTTAGTATATTTTGTATGCTTTCTTGCAGGCATCTTGTAAAATAATCTTCTGCAGAATAAATATTTAAAAGTATTACGAATTTCTACCTCATTTCCGGTGCTTCACAACACCTATAAACTAGACTAACAATTTTATACATTCTATTGTATGGCAAGTTTCTTTTAGACCTGACAATATAATATAATGGCTTAGAATTTATCAAAAAGCTCGTTCCTGTATTTCTTTTAGGTAAGAATCCCTTGCTCACGAGATCGGATGACGAAGATGCAGATTTATGGGAAAAAACTCAACCAGATACAGTGAAAGTAGAAGAGGGATACAAAGGTCTCAAAATAAAGCTTCCAATGAAAGCTGATACTATAGTCAAGCTCACTGAATACTTCAAGTCTCGAAGGGTAAGTACTCATTTCTGTAAGTAAAAAAGGGATTTGACAGTAAATAAATTCACTGATCGTATTATGAAAATTAAATATTGCATTTCTAAAACACTTCACATCATCTTCAAACCTGCAGTTTTCACATGTAAATACAATAATCATATATAATGGGGCTTTTGAAAGAAAGCTAAATATGAATTAAAATGAGTTTGCACAATAAAATGCATAATACTTGGTTTATTGAAACTACTTTTCCAAAGAAACGATAGACGTATAAAGTTATAGGAAAAAGAAAGAAAACAAAAGGAAGAAAAAGAAAAGGAAAGAAACACCTAGCGTGTTTTTGCAAATTAAAAAATAACTTCATTTTAACTTTATTAATTTATGCCTTATGTGCACAGTTTTAAGCCCAGTGACATGATTTTTCGATTGTATAAGGATCATCACCGATTAACGGGGTATTTTTGTATTAAAATATTTTTCACTGTGCTATTCCAAAAATGCATTGGGTAAAAAATTGAAATACTTTAACAAAAAAAGAAAGAAAAAGCATTTAAGACATAAAAATAAATTATATTATTCTTTCTGTTGCACTTTGAAACTTCTTACAAAGAACTGATTTTCTTACGTTGGAATATATATATATATATATATATATAAATGGGCAGGTGACAGGTGACGGAGGACGGGGACGCCTGGTGTTTAACGGAGGTAAACAGGCATATGTCCCACGCCCTTCCCTATATAGATACAAGAACTCCCTGGGGTCCCACAAGGGCGCACCGGGAGTTACTGAGCCTTCATGAAAAAGTTTACATGGCCATACAAGGGCTATTCCAGTTTGACATTGGTTCTGTACAGATTCTTATGTTAATGGTTGACCTGGGTGTTCATAGGCCATAATGCATACATGAAACATAACATTACATACATGATATATGACATGACATTAAACTTATACATAATACTTGCATGAATTAGTACATACATACTTTACACTTCACATGACATTAGACTACACATACATAATGCATGACATTAATCTACACTTATTAGAGTTATAACCTGACTGTATACTACGTTAAGCTAATTGTATTGCGAACTTGCTAAAGTTACTTTATAACTGGATTACTTATAGTTTACATTATTGCTATTACTTCTTAAATGACATTATGATGCTATATAACAAGATAGGCACACACATACTTTGCCTTATAATCATATATGCGTTACTTAAAATAATACACATGGGGCACGCGTTACACGCGCTAATGACTACATTACCGATTACGTTATGTTAAAAGTACACATAGTATGACGTATTACACTCATTGATTAAATTACTTACATTACTTACTTATTACTTACATTACACAGTTACTTATACACTTACATATTTACAATTTTAGACATAACACCTGCTAAGTTACAATAGAGACATAGAATTCTTGCGCTGTGTGTGCTATCATTCCTATGTTGGTTGGCAGACATCGTGCCCTAGGGAGCCCAGCTGCTGTGTAATTTTACATATGTTTCTTATCGCAGGTGCGTGTTTGATGATGAACCTCTTGTAAGGTACTATATCCGTAGTGGGATATGGTAGGTGATGGCTCGTCGTGAGGCTACAATTAAACACGTAGTGGTCGCACACACACGCTTCTGTCATGGAAATAGCACGCTTATAAAAGAAGGTGGGAAAAGGGCCATGCCCCGTGATATAGTTTACTAAAGGGGGTATGGCCTGTAAGCGTTCTTTATCTACTACAGGGTAGAACTCGAAAGTCCTTCTGCCGGTATCTCCATTCTCCCATTCGTGTTGCCATTGTTTATTCCCTATGTCTCTTAGTTGTCTTTTTAAAAATGACGGCGGGATTAGTGCTGAGACAGCCTGTGCATTATTGTTGATTGCTGCCTCATTGGCCAGTTGATCTGCCATCTCATTGCCTGCGATCCCAGAGTGGCCTCTTACCCATTTTTAGCTTGATGTTAGATTGCTGGTTGCTATGCAATGTCTGTTGGATTTGCAGGATTATGGGAGATGTGTGATGATGATTCTTTAATGCCTGCAGCACTGACATGCTGTCTGTGCAGATTTCTGTTCGTGCAAGTTGTATGTCATGTGCGTACTGTATTGCCGCTTCAATTGCTATGGCCTCCGCCTGGAAGATACTATTGTGAGCTGCAAGATGACCTTTCCATTGACTGTGAAGTGTACCATGCTCATAATAAGCATAAGCACAACCCACTCCGTTATCATGTTTGGAGCCATCTGTGTAGAATTGCGAGGCGACTGGTACATCCTCTATTCGCGGCGTAGATCTCTTTGCTATTTTGACGTGTATGCCCGAGTTTTTATGTGCTGGGTGCACGTGCTGTGTGCTGCCTGGTGTTTCGTACTGCAGCGTGCTGAAGACTGTGGTGTCGAGTGCAGCATTCTCCTTTAATCTTATTACCCGCTCATATATTGCTTCTAACTTGGCCCTGATGTGAAGGGGTGTGAGCCCGGTAAGCACAAGTGCTGCATTTGTCGCGGTTGTTCTATATGCCTTGCTAATGTTGAGAGCAAAAGGTCTTTGAATTGCTGACAGGGCTTTTATTTTACGGCTGCTGCCCATTGGTAGTGCCCAAATAGCTGAGGCATAGAGTACAATCCTTTCTGCAACCGTCAAGTAGAGCAGTTTTTGAATGTAAGGGTTCTGCCCCCAGTTTTGTCCCCGAAACTGCCTGGCTTTCTTTGCAATGTTAGCTGTTCTGACTTTGACTTCTTGTAGATGTGGTAGCCAGGTCAAGCCTTGGTCCCACGTGACTCCAAGGTATTTCAACGTTTTGGTGATTTTCAAGTTTCTGCCCATTAGCTTAATACAAGGTCGTCTCGTGGGGTTTGTACCTGGACGCGGTATGACCATGGCCGTAGATTTCTGGGCTGAGATAACGAGTTTCAGCTTTTGGCACGTGTCATAGAATTTGGAGCAAGTGGCGGAGCCGTTCCTCTCCAGTTCGTCTCGCGTACGGCCAGTAACTAGTAGTGCCGCATCATCGGCATACGCCACTACTTTGGTGTGGTCAGGCCAATTGAGTTGCAGTAGCGCATTGAACGTAATTATCCAAAGCAGGGGCCCCGCGCAAGAGCCTTGTGGGCAGCCCCTCTCCTGCTTCTTTGTATAGACACCACTATTGTTTGCGATTATGAGACTTCTTGAGTCCAGATAATCGTTGAAGATGTTATATAGATTCCTGGGGCACTTTGCCTCCCTGAGGGCCTGCTTGATTGCAGGCCACCAGAGGGAGTCAAAGGCACTCTGAAGATCTAGTGATATAAATGCCGTGTGCCGGTTATTGGCTCTATTATCGTTAATGTGGCTTCTGATCTTATCTAGAGCGTGTACTGTAGAGAGGCCAGTTCTGAACCCATATTGGTTATTGCTAAGGAATTTGGTACGGTGAAGGTGGTACTTTAGCCTATTCACCAGAAGTTTCTCGTAAACCTTCCCCAGCGCAGACAATAAACATATCGGTCTGTAGGAGCTGGGGTCTTCTGGTGATTTTTATTCTTTTTAAGAAAGAATACGACTTGGCCCTTTTTGAAGGCCGATGGAAATATCTGCTGTCTTAGCAATTTATTAAAGAAGGCCTTGAAGTATGTTGGGCAGGCAGTGTATGCGACCCTGATGATTGCATAGTCCAGTCCGTCAGGGCCTGGCGCTTTCTTGAGCGGAAGATATTTGAAGACTTGCTTAATCTCCTCCGTTTCGAAAGGGATATCATCCGGGGTATCTGGGACGTCTTGACAGTCTCTTGTTAGTCTTTGTTGTGGCGTGTCATCCTCTGGGTTATCTTCCCTGAAGGCTGCATTCAGATATGTGGTAGCAGTATCTTCTGCTATGTTGCCGGTGGAGGGTGGATTTGTGGTCTTGGCGTACAGATGATCCGGCTTGAAGACTTTGGAGGTTGCTAGTTTGTGCAGTATTCCATATGGATTTGAGTTCTCCGTACAGAACTTCCGCCAGCTGGCGATCTTCGCCTTTAGGAGGTTAATCTTGTACGCTGCTCTTTCCTTTCTGAATGCTGCGAGGATTGTAATCTTTGCTTCCTCGTCTGTCGTAGAGCGTAGACGGCGTCTTAACGCGCCCTGCACTTCTGCCGTTGTTGGCGCAGTTCTTTCGTCCACCACGCAATACCCTGTAGTCGTTTTGCAGTCCTGGTGGGCAGGTATTGATCACATATGCATCGAATGGTGTCTAGAAGTTGTTCTGTATGGTCATTAAGGTCATTCTGATTATTGCATAAATCCAACGCTTGCTCCTTTTGTTGAAGCGCCTGCGAAAAGGCCCTTGTGAGTGCCTGTATTCTATTCTTTGGTAACTTAAATCTCCTGAGTATGCTAATGCTCGTATCACCTTCTATATTGAAGTAAATATATCGGTGGTCCGAACAACTTTCGTCTTCGGCCACCTGCCAGTCATGGACATTGTTGGCGATGTCCTGGGTAGTGATAGTGATATCCGGCCAGCCCTGATGGTAGGTATTATCAAAGGTTGGCTGTGCATGAGGTGCATTGATAATTTGAAGGCTGTTAGAATTCAGGAAATCTTCTAGCAGGTGCCCTTTTGGGGTGGTGGTGGATACCCCCAAATGGTACTATGGGCATTGAAATCACCACCGATTAAGTGCGGGATAGATGGGTACTTAAAGCTAATATATAAATGCTTGAAATAGTGCAGAATTGCAATCCATTTTATAGATGTGCAGTAACAGACAACAGAAAAAAAAACTGTCAGATTTGTTGGCTGTTCCCCAAAGACAGCTTTTATAGAAATACATGAGGAAAATTCGCCTGAACGTAGAAGAAGGTCTAAAATAATTTGGAAAGAGAAAAGAAAGCTTCTCAGAAAATCAGATGAGAAACTATTTGTGTCCACACACACTCAAAAACAAAAGTGGTTAAGATGAAAGTGGTCTTAATGTAAATAATATAATAATTCGACGCACACTGGGGGGGACAGATGTATTCTCGAAGACCAAGGTAAGTTTCGATTTTTAAAAAAATACGTACTGAAGACCGTATGCATTTTGCCACATTTAACCATATCAAAAATGACCTTGCAAAACAGAAGAAACCGTAGAGAAATGTGCTTTGGAGTGATGAAAAGTAAAGTAGATTTGTTTGCAATGGATGGAAAATCCAAAACACGCATGAACCGCTCTTAAAGATGTAGGTGGCAGTCTTAGCTGTTATGTTGTGGGGTTGCATTTCGTGATATGTCATGTGAGCCCAACTTGTCGTGTAGATGGTATCATGACCAAAGAGATGTACGTATATGGACATCTTAGAGAACATGATGTTACCGTGGGCAGAAGAGAACATACCACTGAAATGGTGCAATCAACATAATGATCCGAAATATTCAGCAAAGCTGACGAAAAAGGTGGTTTGAATGAAACAAGACTGATATTCCGCCATGACCCTTTCCACCGGAACTAAATCCGAATGAGAATTTTATATGACTATTTTTCCCCCTTTCCAATTGCGAGCACTAGCGTTGGCCAATACGAAGGCAGGAAGCGGCGGTCACTTTAATTATGGAGGAACCTAATACAGAGGCTGTTCCCACATTTTTTAGACAATGTATATTGTATTCACAAAACTAAATTACATAAAATTTTTGTGTTTTTAAATGTTCTATTTGACATCCCTTATTCTGAACTATCTTTTGACACCGCAATTTCCAGGATAATAATGCCTTTTGAAGTGGCAGAAGAGGTATTCTATCCCATTCCTCCCGAACAGCTTTCCAGAGTCTTGTTAGGGTTTCGGGACAACGTTTGGATAATGCAGTTTTTAAAAGTCCGAAAGCACAAAAATCCATAGGCGACACATAGGGAGATTTAGTAGGGATATCAGTGAAGGGTATGGTCTTGATACCAGTTTTTTGTTCCATTTCTTTTAGGAAATTTACAGTGGATTTTGATGTGTGACTGCTAGCTTTGTCCTGATGGAGTCTCACAGATTGATGGCACTGTGGGTAAAGCGATGGTATTTCATTCAGAAAATTGGCGCTAAAATATGTTCCTGATAGTATTTGGAGTTAATCTTGACATTTTTGTTTCACTCTCTTTATTTTTAACTTGCCATTATAAGAAAAACCAGCAACAATCATGAATCCCTTAGAAAAACTTTCTTTCGATTCTTTGAACCATGTACTTAAATTTTTTTCTCCCCTTTTATGATAATAAATGGCTCTTTTTTTGTTACAATCATTTAAATACACCCATGCTTCATCTATTGTGACAATTGTTTTCCATTTTTCTTTGGATAAGTATTTCTCATATAGAATTCTACAGCGTGTCCTGCGTTGAGCGATATGCTTTGGAAGAAGACGATACACATTGCGTTTTTTCGCTTTCTTACGATTTAAATCAACGTTTATCATTTTGTTTACAGTGGACACCGAGCATTTTAATGATTTTGAAACTGTCCTTCGACTAGGGAGATTTCTTTCAACATTAAACAACGTACCTTTGCAATAGTCGAAGATGTCCGTTTCTTCCTTGGATACTTGTTTGGAATTTTTGTCCCACTTGAGGCTCCAATTTGACGTTTTTTTCCTTTCTTGTTGATGATATTACCTATCGACCCTTTAGATATCACAAAACCATGATTCTCGCATCGTTTTTGGACAATGGAGTATGCATATTTCTCTTCGGAAAGAGCGTAAATGTAGCCTTCGAACCACTGCTTTGTTAAATTCGCCATAAAAACAAAACGTTCAAGCCACAGACGATAATTTTGACTTTTAAAAAATAGTACAATTGCAATAACTTCTTTTGCAGCAAACGATTTTTTTATTACCGCTTACCAAAACCGTCTAAAAAATGTGCAAACAGCCTCTGTAGTTTAACATCGACTTTACTACAAGCCAGATGGCTGTTTCATCACTTTGTGGTCATCGCCGATCAGGAAAACGTTGTAAACATTTCACTAACCATAAACTTTCCGTAGCGAGTTTCCTTTGATTGCACCATTGTTTATGTCAATTTCAACTATAATTCTTATAATCAGAGGGGTAATGAAAGCATTTAACTACTTTATATTTAGCAAATTATTAGTTACTATATTTATGCCATTATTTTGAGCAAATTATGAAATAAATATTTTACACAAGAGAGCACATGTTTTTCGAGTATATTGTTTGAAGTAAAAATGCTTCTTAATTATTCAGTTTTTAAATATCCTATATATTGTATAAAGTATTTCTCCCGCCTGCCTAGCGTGCCTTCGTGGTGTAGTGGTCAGCACACTGAGTCGGTGTTTTAGAGGTGCGTGGTTCGATTCCCGGCGAAGGCTTTGCTAATTTTTCATCTTGCCTGCTTCCAAAAAAAAAAAAATCCTAATGTCTCTACAATTGTACAAAGGAAATAAATCATTACTCATCATGACATCAAAATTTTTTTAATTAATTTAGATCAGTCTTAAATATGCAAATTGTAAACAAAACGATATATGTACAACGAATTCTTTATTTGGTTTACTAACTTAATGCAATATGTCAAAACACTTTTCATATTTCACACTGTATATATTCAGCAAAGATTATTATGCAGTCAAGTTTGTTTTCATTTTAATGCTGATTTTCAAAATGCGTAATAAATTATTTTCCAGAATATAGTATCTGTTGTAATGTTCGTAGATGGATTTATATTTAAATATCAAATTTTATTTGTTAGAAAATAATACACATTTTCATAAATTCAACTGTCAGTTATCATGCTAAAGAAAAATACACAACAGCAACACATTTACAACAAATTTTGTTACAGAATCTTTACACATATCATTACAACTCAAATTTGACACAAACTATTCTGTGTTGACGTAAAAGAAATACAATGCAAGAACTTAAAACTTTATGATTTTAAACAATGAACCCCTTAAATATGCAACTAAGAGGTTTTCTCTCTTTTTAATGCAATACTCAGATATAAAATTCAATTGTTTTATTCTCAACCAAAATAAAATCTCTTTTTATAAAATTTATTAATGTAAAATTGTACTAAATGTACTTGACGAATTTTATACATATATATTTTGTATTTTCTAAAACCTATAAAAAAAATTTCCCCCTATCTCTGCTTTTAAAAGTATTCGAATAAGTGCCTTTTCCTATTTTTAACTTACAACAGTAAAATTTAGACAGTACGTTAACACCATGTGTAATAAAATCGCTCTGAGCTTATCTCTTCAATTCATTTTGCTATAATTTCTGACGAGGAATCTTAGAAGATATATCTGTTAAATATGCTAGTTTTTCATTATGTAATTTGTCCATTTATATTGTTAACTTTGGAAATTTACCAAACATAATTTTTTTAATTAATAAAATTTAATTTTAATTTTTTAATTAATTAAATTTAATTTAAAATTAATTAATTTATTTCAGAGGCTTCATGCCAAATATGTGTTGACGATAATTCATGCAGCTCGTAAAATTCTTAAATACAAACCAAACATCAACTTTGCTTCCAGTGTTCACTCCAGACAAATAACTATATGTGGTGACCTCCATGGAAAATTAGAAGATCTATTAACAGTGTTCTATAAAGTAAGTGATGTCTTTCAGCGTATAAATTTAAATCCACAGAACTCCAAGTATCTGGATTAATTCTGCCATCTAGATAGTTTCAAAATCGGCATAAATGGGTTATGTTTTTGTAGGCCGAATACTTAATATTACAGTATTTATCATTTTGTTTTGGACAAATACGAAACTGAGAAAGTTTTATTTTTTTCAGCTAGTGCGTTTTATTAAATTATACAATTACAATCGTTTTTATTTCTGTAAAACAAAATAAAAAATAACCGAAAACCATTTCACCCTATCTCAACCAAAAAAGAATTATTTATTCTGGTCCTAAAATTTTCTATTATTTCAGTAGAATAAAGCCTCAAATTACATCTGTGTAACTAAAATATGAAACAATAATGAAACTTCTTTCTTATTATTTAAATCAACAAACAAAATTAAATTATAAACTGGTAAATAATTACAAAGGATAACATTAGTTGGCCTAGGAAGAAGAATAAAGTATCTGCGTAATTGGAGTTCCAGATATTTGGAGTTCATGTGACTAGAGTTTAAATGTTCTTGAATGAAGTAATTTGACTGCAGCAAACATTGTCAAAATACATTAAAAATATTTTTTGTAAGCAATATGGACCCTTCATTGCTTAAAAATTAAACAACTTGTAAATTTAATACGAATTAAATATCATGATTAAACTTAAAACACGGCACAATCTACATTTAAACTGAAACAACGTGAAGAAAAAATCTAATAGGCATGGAATTTGCATTATTATACTTCGATAGGACATGCAAATGATTAGCTGTGCAGTGCATATGTAAATTATGTACGCCAGCAACGCTACTTAAAAGCACTATAAAAGGTACTGGGAAGTAATTTAAGTACTGAGATTGCATGCTTTCCTGATAAGGCTTAGATGTTTACTCAAAATACAAGACGAGCCCAAAGTTTTCTCGAGTGGTTGGTTTTAGGAGAAGAGAGGTAGGAAACACTCATACCGACCCCTGGGTGTTCTCCATCAAAACTGGAACTGACCTAACAATTAGAAAACCCGGCTACACCTAGTGCAACCTATACCTGTGTGGGAAAAGTTTACTATGTCCTCGTCGAAAAAAATGCGGCATTTAAGAGAGCAAGTTTCTGAGTTTAACATAAGCACGACTGGGCGTATTCCTTCCGAGAAATCGGTGTTTCTATTGGACAAAATGATGCCACAGTGATGAGAATATGGAATTCGGTGTATGCAGGAGAGACGGACCAACCGAAAGGATCAATTTTACTAGTATCATTATACCTGCGAACGAGCGAACAGGTATTTTGTGAGCGTAGTAATCACAAATCTCAGAAGAAATTAAAAATCTTAGCTTAATAATTAGCTGTTGCTTACCTGTAAACAAGTGTACGCGTGTACTATACCACATTTTCTAGTGAGGAGTGGAAATTTCGGCAAGGCGTCCATTTGCTGCGATTACCAGTGACACTACAGTAAGGTGGGGCGAAAAAAAAAACACTTTTTAAATTTTTTTCTATCGCTATACACCGGTAAGGTTGTCTATCGCTTAGATAAGCAGAAGGGGGAAAAATTCAAATTATATCTTTAATTCGCGCTTGCCCTCAGAGTTTTGATGAATAGTGAATTGAGAAGTGATGTATATGTATAGAAAAACAAATGATTACAGTTTGAGAAAAATTGGATGATTTATTCAAGTGATAGAGCTTCACAAAGTGAAACAATTCAATAACACGTTTGTCCACCTCTGGCCCTTATGCAAGCAGTTATTCGGCTTGGCATCGATTAATAGAGGTTGCGGATGTCCTTCTGAGGAATATCAGGCCAAATTCTGTCCAACTGGAGCGTTAGATCGTCAACCTCCCGAGCTGGTTGGAGGACCCTGTCCATAATGCTCCAAATGTGCTCAATGGGAGAGAGATCCGGTGACCTTTCTGGCCAAGGTAATGTTTGGCGAGCACTAAGGAAGCAGTAGAAACATGTGCAGTGTGGGGGCGGGCATTATCTTGCTGAAATGTAAGCCCAGGGTGGTGTGACATGAAGGGCAACACAACGGGCCTTAGAACTTAGTCAACGTACCGCTGTGCTGTAAGGTTGCGACGGATGGCAACCAAAGGGATCCTACTATGAAATGAAATGGTAACCCAGACCATCACTCCTGGTTGTCGGAATGTCTGCCAGAAGACAGTCAGGTTGGTATCACACCGCTGTCTGGGGCGTCTCCAGACTCGCCTTAGCTGGTCATCGGGGCTCAGTTCAAAGCGGGATTCATCACTGAAGACTATTCTACCCCAGTCAGGGACAATTCAGTGCGAATGAGCCCGACACCACTGCAAACGGGCTTAACGTTATACAGAGGTCAATGGTAGTCGGCGCAAGGGGCGCCGTGACCTCAGCCCCCTTTCTGTGAGCCGTCTATGAATGGTCCTTGCGGTCACTGAAGCATTAGTTGCACGTACAATGGATGATAATGATGCATCTGGAGCTGTCAGGGCCGCTCTGACGATTGCTCGATCACATTCTGTCGTTTCTCTAGGCCTACTGCTTCCTTCTTGACGCTGTGTGCGGCGATGGTTCTCCCATTCCTGCCAACATCGTCTAAAAGTGGCATCGCTCCTGCTCAAATGTCGAGCTATTCGCCTATAAGACCAACCGGCTTCTTTGAGCTCAACTACACGACCTCTCTCAAATTCTGACATCTGCGCATATCTTTCGCGCACCTGTATGCGAGGCATAGTTACTGTCTACCAGAGTACACGGAATGAAATTCGTGAAGAATTTATGACCTGGAATCGTAATTTCTCCTCTTAAATGTCCTGCCAGTTGCGCAGATCAGATGCGCTGTAGCGACAAACGTTCATTCATTGGCAGCCCAAATGTAAAATGTTGCATTTTCCGTCGAAACCTGTATGCATATCAATTTGTGTCCAATTTGCTTTATATCGTAGTGGTGCGTCTTTTTTTTTTTTTTTTTTGTTAGAGTGTATAATAGAGATTGAGTTTGATAAATAGTAATTTTGCTTCAATTTTTTTTTTGTAGTTACTAAACCCACTGCTGTCGAAACGCCATAGATCTAGTATGAAATTTGGGACATGAGGAAAACGCACACAAAATATAAAATAAAATTTGTAATTTCAAATTATTTATTGTTCGCGCAAAAAGTTCAAAAAAGACAATTTTTGGTAAAGATAGCAATATTTCGTAATTTTTGCTACAAAAAAAAAAAAAAAAAAAAAAAAAAAAAAAAAAAAAAAAAAAAAACAAAAAAAAAAAAAAAAAAAAAAAAAAAAAAAAAAAAAAAAAAAAAAAAAAAAAAAAAAAAAAAAAAAAAAACAAACCTTTTTAAACGGTATAATTACCAAATATTGAAAACCAGCGGGAAATGCTTCCTGACTGATTTGACATAGGATCGCATCGTGTATCTCGGATTTGAAAATGATGTTATACAACTCTAAATCGAATCTCACGTTCGGTTGATTTGATTTTAATTAATTAATTTTTAATTTTCATTTATTTGATTAATTTTAATTACTGCAAAGCAATCGAAGGCTATCTGTCTAAGGGAAGGGATGTCTTCGGAGGGATATTCTAAGGGAAACTGTTTCGTATACACATTACACATGGAAAAACCATTGAAATGCCTGTGCAGCCACTCGGATTCGAATCCCAGGCCGAACTACCAGCGTTCAGCGACTTTTCCGTTCAGACACTAGTCGTTCACTTGCACGCTGGGAGACCACTGCAGGGGTCTCTCAGCTACTATATGTCTCCTGCGCTTCAAAGAACTGCAGGTCGTCACCTGTTTCATCATTTGCATGGTGTTACCACGTGGGCGAAATCCTTCAGTGGACCGATCGTGACAAAAATCGCTGGCTGTGAAAAATTCGCTTTGAACGTGCTGAATGCCCCGTTCTTCAAGCTGACAGAAAGGTGCTGAGCAGGGATCAGTTATATTTACTTGATATTTCTGCTAGTATAAAGTCAGATAAAATTTTAGATTATTTATTAGTTCATGTTCCTGGTCCACTTTCACATTCAAGAGGGTTAACGACAGCAAATCGAGTTCTCGGGCTGTACGTAAACTTAGAAAGAGCTGCTGATGAAATTATGAAGCTCATACATTTTATTTTTAGTTGATTCATGTCTTTTCCGTTTATAATCAAAACCAATAAAAATTTCACAGACGGTCCAAAGATAGTTTTTGAAGCAAACAGAACATTAAGATACCTAACTCGAAATTTACTTCATCAACCTAGTAATTCTTTTAAACCGAAATTCTTTTTTTGTTCCTTCCCAAAATGTTAGCCTTGCAATGATTATGGATGAAGGAAGACATACCAGATAATTATGGCTGCATCGATATTAAAAAGTTCGATCAAGGGAAACTTCACAATGCACAATCAACTTCAAAGCAACAGACTGCGTCAATATAACATTATGGGACAGTTGCAATAATTTTCTCCTCCACTATTAAGGAACATTACGAATCAAAAAGCTATTAAATACACTGCTATCAAAATATTAAAAATCAATTACATACACTGCTAGCCATTAAAATTGAAATACCATGAAGGAAAGCAAATAAAAAAAAGATATTTATTGCACGTACACAGTATGGCATGAAGACAAAATGATTAAATTTGTAAGTATTTTGAGGTTTACAGGCCTGCGAAATTAAAAGAAATAGCTGCTACCCGTGACAGCTAAACCAGCCCTTACTCCATTAGGTATGGAGTCAAATTGGGCTTGAATGACAGAAATAGGCCACTCATTCCATGCTGCTTCAAGTCTACGTCACACTTCATGAACCAAATTACCTGGAGAGGGTTGGCAGACCAGTCTCTCAGCAACCCATTACCAGATATTTTCAATGAGTGACAGACCTCGAGGCCGTGCACATCATGTCAGTAATTGAATTCTCTGTGTATAGAGGAAGGTTAGAACACGACATGTAACATGTGGTCTTGCATTATCTTGTTGGAACATTGCGTTTGGGAGCTTCTAAG